AAGTAGATCATTTTAGAATGATCTTAATGAATTCTCTGTGGACAGAGTAGGACATGCCTAGCAGATTGTGGTTGAATGAAGCACCTTCACAGAGAAGTGAGTAATCCAATTTATTGTCCAAAGACCCAGGTTTACATCCAGCATATCTTCCAGATAGGTGACCTTGGACATAAGATTTAACCTATCTGAACTATAGTTTTCATACCTACAAAATAAAGATTTTAAATATCCCATAAGGTAGTCTTTTTTTTTTTTTTTTCCAAGACAAGGTTTTTCTGTGTAACAGTCCTGGCTGTCTTGGACCTCATTCACTTTGTAGACCTGGCTGGCCTTGAAACCACTGAGATCCACCTGCCTCTGCCTCCCAAGTGCTGGGATTAAAGGCGTGCACCACTACTGTTTGGCTTAAGAATTAATTTAGGTCATATGCATTAATTAAAGTTATTTTGTAAGCAATGTGTTATTATGACAGTGAGTACTGATATCCATTAATATTGTCACCAGGCTTTGATGTTGGCTCATTTTAGGCAACATTTTGTCAAAGGCATGAACAAAAAACCAGAGGAAACCCATATCAGGTTACAGGAGACACCAAGTGGGCAGTGCGAGCGGATGGGTTTGATGAGCCCTAAGACTCACATAATTCAGTGAGTGCCAGTGGTGGGACAGCCTAATGATTTCAGCAGCTTGAAATACTGGACAAAATCCATAAGGAAAAAATAACCAAAAATAAACTTTTATATTTGCCATTGGCTAAAAATGAAATTCCACAAAGACAGAATGAAGAAGCATTTTGTCTCAGAAAGAAGAAGATCCCTTGGAGGATCTGAGATGCTGGATTGACCATCAGCTCACTCTGAAAACGTGGTGGGAGCTAGCTGCAGAGAAAGGCAGCAGAGTTGTGGGCTGTGTCCATAGGTCTGTCCTCCTCAGGCCAATGTCCATTTGGCGCTTCCGGCTTCATTTTGGAGAGGCTAGGATGACAGTTTCTCGTAAGTGACAAGTGGCCCCAGGAATTTTATGTCTCTAGAATGGGAAGGGTAAACTGGGGACATGTGTAATGGTGACCCCGTGACTGTAACAAGAACAGCTACCACCTCTTGAGTCCGGGCTTCCCTGGCACTGTACTCAGTCTGTCGAGTAAGTTACTCTATTTCCTCCTTTCAACACCTGAAAACTATTTCCTGTTTCCCTTGTAGAGGAGAAACAGGGTTCCCAGCTCTCAAGGTTAGACACCTAGCAGATATGTCAAGCTCAGAGCTATTTTAATCCAGGGCAGGTACTTTTAGCTGACGTGCTACTGTGCCTTCTGAGAGTTAGGGGGAATAAAATAGCGAAAGCAGAGCATTTGAAGGTCTAGCTTGTGGCAGAGGATCGGCCCTTTTCTGTGTGTTTCTAGATGATGGCGGGTGTTTCAGAAGAATAAAATATGTGAAGGGAGAGTGAGGCTCAGGTTTAGGAAGAGGAGTCTGTAATGAATCTGTCTGTTCTGCCAGCTCCCAAATAATGACGCGGGGACTTCTTATTAATTATGAAAGCTCAGCCTTAGTTTAGGCTGGTTTCTAACTAACTTAAATTAACCCATTTCTGTTAACCTATGTGCTGCCACGTGTGGCTCGTGGCTTTTACCTCCTCCTGCATGTCCTGCTTCCTCTGCGTCTGCCTGGGGATTCCCCATTTCTTCTTCCTAGAGCTCTGTCAGGAAATCCCGCCTAAAGCTCCTGCCTAGCTATTGGCTGTTTAGCTTTTTATTAAACCAACCACAGTGACATATCTTTACACAGTGTAATCAAATATCTCACAACAGGAGTCTGAGACTGAGGAGTGGGATGTCTTCCATGGAAACAAACTACTTGCCCACACTTAATGTTCCCTCAGTGCTCCATGGCTGCCCTGGAGAACTTCAGTGACTCCTAGAGAGTCTACAATTTCATTAGATTTATCCTGGACACACTAATTAATTTGGATACACAACTTCAAGCAGCAGGAACTCTTTTGACAGACAGAAAAAGCCATCGTCGGTCCTCAGTCCCAGGGTCGCTGAGAATGTGAAGCCCGTGGGACTTCCTGTGCAGTCCACTCCTCTTGGCTCTGCTGACCCATCTTCTCTTATGGAAAGCCAGCTTTGATGAGTCATCAGAAAGCAGTGGCACCGGCATCTTGAGTTTCTCTTTTGCATCTAATCGAGGCGATGGACAGCCTCTTTGGTGTCAAGGCAGAGTAAAACAGAACACCAACAAAAACCGTTCACAGGTTAGGCACAGGGTTGACGGAGTTAAGTCCGTGCCTCTAGTTCACCAGGGACATGGGAGCAGGATAAATTAGAACGTGGCAGGGCTTATGAGAACAATATTGGTGGGTGAGGAAGTAAGAGGCCTCCAAGGAGGCATTTCAGATGGAACCGCACAGGGGAATCTTCACATCAACCGTCTTATTGATAACTAGGTCTCTCTCTCTCATTAAATCAAAACAAGTTTCTTGGGGCAGTAGACATGGCTCCTCAGCTAAGAGTGTTCATTGGTCTTCTCAAGGACCCAAAGGTTCCCAGAACCTATGTTAGGCAACTCACAACTGGCTGCATTCCTGCTCAAGGAATCCTGTGTCTCTCTGGCCCCTGAAGGCATCTGCACTTACGTAGATACACCCCACCCACTACACGTTTAAAAATAAAATGAATATTTACAAAAACTAGCTTTTCAAACAAACACCAATTCTTTATTGATTCTAGAATAATCCAGACTCACAAGTACTTTTTAACATGTCACTGTTCTAGACACTGTACAGACAAAGGTGGCAGACTCAGACTCCTCCAGATTCCCCACTCTTCCCTTTGCTTAGAATATCTTCATCTTGCTCTAGTTTACCACTGTCTTTATCTTCCTTCAATTTAACAGTTTGCCGACACCAACCACCCCACTGCCTGACCAGGTTAAACACGTCACTGTACCCTCTCATGAATCGAGAGATTTCACATGTGGAATGCTATAACTCCATTTGTGACTCTTCACTCTGGGTGTCTTTTGCAAAACGAAAGCTTCCCTGGGGGAGGCCATGTTTGTTTTGTTCACTGCTCTGCCTGGGACAAAATGCTTCTAAATGAAGTAAGGACTAAACTCAGTTCATTTGGCAGGTGTTTATTAAACACATATATGGCAAACATTTGTCTTAACATTGGGGAAACAAACAAAACCAAAACCAAAGACCAGAATCATGTGTGTCCCTGGGATGTAAAATCTTGACTGCTAGTCAAAATTTTGATTTAATGACCGAAGAGTAGCTGACTCCTCTCACTACTTCCAAGTAGTAGAAATGAATGCCTGTGGTTCTAAGTGAATGGTACAGAGGTTTTCTTCTGTAATTTTCAGATGAAGGGACTTACATGCTTGCCTGCTGTGCTAAGAGGGCAACTGTTCACTCATTTTCAAACTCTCATCTCCTATACTATTGCTCAATAAACATTTCACAAGCTAGAAGTGGGTGTGTGATCTATAGCTTATATTGTCTATAAATGCTAGTGGGCATAGAGGGCCTCACAAGATGATCCAGTGGAGACAGAGGTGGAGAGCACATGCTTTTTAAGTGCACTGAATGGTAAAGGTCATCTTTGGTGACTGATTTCTTACCTACTCCTGTCATAGCCCAAGTAAGAGTGACCATCACCTTTGTTGTTGGCTGTGGAACTTGGGCACCAGAGTCCTGGTTATGTGAATGGAAGGCCTTACCCTTAATGGCAATCATGCTGCAAAAATTAAGTCAGGAACTGTTCCTGAGAGTTGCAAAAGGAACCAAGATGATCCGTTTTGAGAACAGTGAAGGGCTTTTCAGAAGAGGACATAGAAGAAACTCTAGGGACTTTATAAAAGGAGTTCTCAGGCAGCAAGAGAAATACCTCACTAGAGTAGGGATGTACTTTGAACAATGAAAACTAGTATTGGATGGGTGGGGAGCTGGCATAGAAGAGAATCATTGGAAATAGAGGAAATGGTCATGACCAAAAATGGAGACAGTATTGCTGAATGTGAATCCCAACTAGTACCCGATTTCAGAGCCTGTGGACAACCCGATGGCAACTCTTCTGGTGTTGTCTTGCTTTGGGGTTCAGGAACTGCCATGGAATGATGTGGTGATAGTTGCATCCACTTACACTAACACAGCGTAAGCCAGTCTTTGGACAGATTGTTAGGTCAAGTTCCTATGCATCTCCACAACTGGAAATAATCCCCAGCCCCTCACAAAGCTGAAGAGACTCTGCAATGGAAACGTGCCAGTGGGATGATGATGTGGTTTGCCATCTTCACCCAGGGACCAGTATACTCAGTGTAGTGGTTCGGTGAGAATGCCGCCCATAGGCTCGTATTTTTGAATGTTTGGTCCTCAGTTAGTGGAACTGTTTGGGAAGGATTAGGAAGTGTGGCCTTGCTGGAGGAGGTGTGTCACTGGAGTTGAGCTTTGTGGTTTCAAAAGCTCACACTGGGCCAAGCACGTCTTGCTTTCCCTCTTTCTGTCTACAGATTGGAATCTAGGTCTTAGATACCACTTCAGTGTCAGAATGCCGCCATGATCTACACAATAATGATAATGGACCAAACCTCTGAAACTGTAAGCCAGCCCCCAATTAAATGCTTTCTTCCACAAATTGCCTTGGTCATGGTGACTCTTCACAACAGAACAGTAACTAAGACACAGTAACCATGCTGTCAGTAACCCTCAGGATGAACTCTAAAATCTCATCCATTCTGCTCATAAAATCTCTAAGCTATGAGTCATTTAACTGGAAAGCACTCCAGCAACTCTTAATGATAATAGCAGAAATCTTCCTAGATTTTTAATGGATACTGTCCGCTAACAGCAGTGTGGTAAAACCAGAAACCCATTCATGTCATAAGGAAGGAGGAGAATTGGTTCTACCACCTGGAAAAGATAAGCCAGTTCACAGGCTGAATGGCAGTGGGCTTGGGGATACAAGTGGAGATGTCTCAGAAAGCACCATGAACAAGATATGTAAAGAAAATGGTTTATTTAAAGTGTTAAATACCATCACCAGAATGAATTTGATTTACATCAGTCGGTGTTTGTTACAGGCCTAATCTGCCCTCCCCCCCATTTCTCCCCAACTGGAATTCCCTTTACTTGAAAACATTCTATGTACAGGGCAGCAACGGTCACTGGCAGGTGCTATTTACATGACGGAACCACAAGTTGAGGTGCAGACATGTGAAAATTAAAAAAAAGTACACCAACTTTTAAATAAATACTGCATAATGACAAGTATGTACAAATATTCCACAGTCATGTCTTTCTTAGTAAAATTAGAAATAATTTGTATAGGAATATGCAGAAAAGATTCTGTGACTCATTTTAGTGTCAGGAACATAGTGAATGTCTAGCCTAAGGGAGAACAAAGACGCTACAGGTCTCTTAAACCAAATCGCTGCTGGTACGCAGGTGTCGAAAGTATCTCATGGCATTATGTTCCTTCTTGTCTCACCTTCGCCTGGGTCTGCCATAGGTCTCAGAAAATCAAGACACGGTCTTGGTGTAGTTCATGTTGCACCACATAAAGAGAAGGCATTTTGAGTGATAGCTCATTTTAACTTTTGCACCATATCAAGCATGACAGTTTTCAATGGTCAGCATTGAATTCAAAAAGAGAAACAAAGAAAATATTTTTTTGTGTGTGCATGGTCTCCATTTAAACAAACGGGATGTAGATGGATTTCAAAAATTACTGCAAGGAGATAAAAGCAATCTTTTAAGGATGTGTAATCAAAGCATATGTAAGAAACAGAAAGGATGGGTGGTTTATTACATTGACCAGTGCCATTTCCTCTCAGTAGGGACCTGGAGAGAAACTGGGCCTTGCGGCGTCACTCAACGGTAAAAACTGCCCGTGAATCGCACGTGGGGTTTTGACTTGAGGGTCTGCATGAGGACTTTTGGTGACGGCGTCCAATAACTGTTAAGAGGCATATTGACGTTCTTCGAGTCATCTAAAAATTGGAGCTTTAAAATTGTTGCAAATTTATGTTTACTATATTTCTTTAGAAATATAATTTGTGAAAAATTGAATTTTACTACAGAAAAATGAATTAATAAACAGCCCTGTGTTTCAGGGCTCCACATAGTTAGCAGTGTTTCTATTCACATAGTAAATGGAAATCAGCTAAAGAAATTGCTTTAACAAATTAAAAAACAAACAAAACCTAAGACCTACAAATAATACTTAACCCCCTGTATGAATAATGCTGGTGCTAAAAACAAATTTGTTAGACATTACAATGCCACATGACTTTAGGATTTTCCTGTAAACTGAATTTTTAAGGTGAAAAAAAATTACCATGCACTGTACAATAAACTGCAAATGTTCAAATATCTTCTTTGTCAAATACGTGCTGACTTGCTTTATGTCCCAAGTCATGTTGCAAAATCCTTTCAACATGCTTGAAATAAAGAAAGCTCTCGAACAGATTTGAGAAATCCATGAATTCAGACGCATCTGTGCTCTGAATCAAATATGGGGTACAAGAGGGTCAGGTGAAAGATCTGCAGTATTTTAGTATAGGGCTCACTCAGGAGGAGAGAAGAAAAAAAAGGTTAAAAGTGGGAAGAAAAGTGAGATAGAGAAGAGGAAAGATGTGAAAAATTTGCACATATTGAATTTCATAAGATCTGTATATTTAACATGGAAATAAATTGAATATATTATACTTATTGTCACATAAAGAGGATTTTAAGTATCTGCTAGAAAGTATTTTCATTTGTAATGTCTGCCAAAACACAGACTGTGATTAAAGAATAAACACGGTGTGTCTTTGTATCACCCTGCTGCATTCTCTCCCATTTTAAAACCATGCACTAGTGAAATTTACTTTTAAAAATAATATAAATTGTTGAAAATGGCTGATTTTTATTTTATTTTTATTATTTTTTTTGCAAGTTGCAGCCCCGAGAAAATAATTTAAATATTCAGCTAATCTGTGTCCATGCAAAAAAAAGTTTCTTTAATTTCATTCAGTACAGTGCAGTCCCAGAATTTTGATTTCAGAGTCCAACACATCTCGGCATTAGTGAATGCCATGCCTCCTGGGGCTTCCCAGAGTCTACCAGTCTCCCTGCCGGAGCCCCCTTGGGAGCGGTGGCCAACTCTGCTCCTGACCACGTCTTTGGTCTCTTGCTTTTCACCTGACGCTTCCTAGGACTTTGCTCCTTGGCCTGTAGTGTGGCTTAATGGCTGTAGAGCTCCATTTCTGTGGCATAACAGGCTTTTGGGTCAGATAAATGAAGAAAAACGATAAAAATATAAAGGTGCCATTGAAAAGGGCTGACTGATTCTTTGAGATTAATCCATGGCTTCAGATTGGACCAGAACTCGAGTGTCACTGAACTCCAAACCTGACAGTTCTTCACAGCTCTGCTCTTGGACCTGAGGGCCTTCGCTAGGGCACAATATGTACGACTTCCTCTGAGAACACAGGATCGCTTTGTATCCCTAGACGTGGGCTCCAAAGACACAACATCAAGCATGCAGTGTTACCAGGGGTTTCGACCTGTGCATTTTCTTCTGTTTCTGTATCGCTGGTTGTTGTGACAACAGTTTTATAGTTGCTATGAACGAGAATAAGAAGGTCCAGTAGAACTTTCCAGAGACGATTGGGAAGCTCTTCTTGTCAGAGGTGCCAAGGTTGGATCTACTAGGGAGGAAGGCGGGAAGAGTTTGAACCATCCAATCACCATATTGGATAGTTCTAGTTCGTCTAAAAGTATCTGGGCCACTCCCATAAAGGATTTGTGGTCCATGCGGCCATAATCTCCCCAGACAATGATCTGTTGGCAAAATAAAAAGTAACGTTAGTATAAACACACACATCACAACAGACAAGCAAAGTCATAACTAAACTAGTAAAATGTGTTCAGCTAATGTGCTGTTGTCAAAGGTCAAGTTAAGTGCCGGAGCCCGATTAATGGCGATGTTGCCTTTAACTCCCAGAAGCCAGGGTTACATTAGGAAAACCTCACTACAGTGTCTGAAGCCACACAAGGAGCAAAGCTGGTGTGTAACCCAGGTCTGAACATCTGGGGGCACTCCTCTGTGAGGGGACAACAGCAAACACAGCTGCAGAGCACTGGCCACTGCCTTCCGGGTGACGGAGAACTTCAGCCACGAGGGACAGGAGAGAAAGCAGGGTTAGGGCAAGCTTCGGGCAAGCCTGGCCTCCTGCCGGCACTGAGCACACACCTGTAACACCTTTCCCTGGGGGCTCTCCTCGAAGGACAAGAGCTGCTGATACAGGGGCTCCAGGGTCTTCCTTGCCACCTTCGTCTTCTTTTTGGCTATGCAGACTCCGTTGTCTAACAGATACACCTTGACGTACGGTGCTGGGGAGAGAGGACAGGGAGTGATGCCCACTGCTATGAACTGGCCAGTTCACGGGGGACAAGAACAATGGCTCCGTCGTCCCTGAGAGCTGGCCGGCAGCGCTCTAGCCACTGGCCTGCCTTCCGTGTCAAAACCACAGTGACACTCGTCAGCCGTGAAGTTTTAAGTATGATGACACGGCCTTTGAGATTTGAGAGCCTTTCCTCTTCCCCATCTCTTTCTCGTATGGATTTAAATGTTGAATCAAAAAGGCAAAATGTTTCCGGTCCCTAACGAGATCCAAAGGCAATGTCTTTAAATTACCAAAATTTTGATCTCATTAAACATGCTTAAAATGAGGCTGTTATGTTCACCCCCATAGTTCACTGACCATTCAAAGGCATTTATCAGCCAACAATGGTGTGAGTCCAAGACAGGAATGGGCTCTGAGGTGGAATGCTCAAAAGTAACTTGGGAGAGACAGTTCAGTAGGAATTCTATGACTAAAACCTCTATGACAGACACTTTTATGAAAAGCATGTTCCTCCATGTCTCATGCTATTAATTATGGTGAAGGAGTCAATTATCCTCAAGACCTTTACACCACAATTTCAAAGAGGTACAGTCAGTAACATACACTTTATTTAAAAATTCCTTCAAGGACTGAGGAGTTGAGAGAGAAATGAAGAATTATAAGTCAGTACAGATGCCGGGATAGGAGTACTTTCAGAATTCACAGCCTTATATACTGGATCTACTGATCTCTGCACATGGCACACTCAGACTCTGCCATTTCTATGGTTCCAAGTACCTTGAATTATAATGATGTTTCAATATGAAACGTGTGGCGTCAAGTTATGGTACAGCCTCTCCCACACTGCAGGAAGGACTGAACGTTCATATTAGGGAGCCAGTATTCATAGGCTTATGGGACTGTGTGGATCTAGTCTATTTTTATTCTAATTCCAGAGCTTGAAGGATGCCTCGGGACAAATGTGAAGTCCCTGGTAAACTGAAGAGTATCATGAAACAGCAGCTAACTGGACAAGGCAATTCCAGTGCACACTCTGTGGACAAAGGGGCTAATGTAAAGATGGGCCTCAACGATGGAGGTATGTTCGACACCGTGTGTGGTCCCCACCGGAGCACTCACTCACGGCCCCTCAGAGTACATGCAAACGGCTTCAGCCCCAAGCAGCACAGTAACAGTATCCACTCACATCCCGACTAAGAAGACGCAGCAGAGAAAGGAGACTTTTACATCAAAACCACACCGACTATGAGAGAGAGCAGTGCGGTGTTCCTGCTTTACCTGGCAGTGTCTTGGAACCTGGTTTGACGACAAGGCCTCGAGCCCGAATGATTTCCACCTCCAGTTGTCCCTTTTTGTCCATCATGCCCACCTGGATGTCACCTGGTGGGACACAGGGAAGAAACACAGGAAGTAGGAGGAAAGCTTGAGCCAAAGAACTTGGCTTCAGACAGTCCCCAGATGTATTCATTCTTTAAGATTTAAACGTTCTCAGTAGTGTGTTACTTTAAAGACAAACAGAAATCACAAAAGAAAAAACTAAGAATGCTTACTGTAAAATCTGGGACCCTTTATTCTTGCTGGTAATTTTGTTAAAAGTATCATGAAATGTCCTTTACATTTTTCAGCAATGCAAAGGGAAAACCATGAAATCACAGAAACTCTTACCCATTGCAGGAGTAGCCAGGGTCTGGCGTCCCACCAGCTGAGCAGGGCCGAGGCCATCAAGGAAATCACTGAACTGGCTGTCAGAGGCCAGGCGGACACCAGGGAAAATCAGGCTGAAGGCAGAAGGACACGCAGGATTAAATCCTCACCCTTCCCTCCTCAGGCAAGCTCAGGCTTCCCGCTGGCCTCACTAGTGTGGCGAGGCTAAGGTACACTGATACTCATTCGACTCCAGCATCCCACACCACCTCCCACAGCTCTCGGACCCTCTTCCGTTCTCTAGCTTCCCACGCCTGTCACCAGGAGCACCTGGCACACCACACCATGTGGGCTTCTGTGATGTGTCTTCTCTTGCTTGGTCTGGAAGGTAGGGGAGATGATTTCTGTCGTGCATGCTCCGTATACACCGAGCACTCATCTACGCCACGCTTTGCCATGTTTAATCTCTTAACTAAACTAAGAGAGAGTCTATTATTTATCTTTTTACAGTTGAAAAAACTGGATCATTCCCATCGGCATATAAATATGCTGCCATTTCATCATGCAAAAGGGAAAACAGCCCTTTTCCTGACTGCGCTCTCCTCCCCAGCCCCCACCCACTTGTTCCCCTGAATCCTTGGAAAAGACCCTCACATTCCCCTCTTCCATTTTATTTGGAAACTCTAATCAGCTTTTTGTTGATTTGTCTTCAAATTTTGAGACATCTCAAAATTTCTCTAACCAGAAGTCAGCCAATGACTACAGCAGTCTGCGTCAGCCAATGACTGCTCAGTGTCATGACTACACAGCCAATATGGCAGTTACAGTCAGCCAATGACTATGGTGGCCAGCGGTCGGCGTCAGCCAATGACGGCGGCAGTCAATGTCAGCGTCAGCCAATGACGACGGCAGTCAATGTCAGCGTCAGCCAATGAGGACGGCGGCAGTAACTGCTGCTGTCACTGTTCTGTCCTCACCGAAGGGAACAGATCAGCGACACAATCCATCCTTCCTTTCCCCCGGAGAAACCTTTTGCAGTCACTTCCTGGAGACGCTGGCTCCCTGGAAAGCTTTCTCTTCTCTTCTGCCCGTTCTGCTATTAAACACCCAAACTCCTTTTTCCCTCTTATCTTTTCCATGTGTCTGAGTTCCCTTGGAAGTTCCACCCAACTTGGTGGTGCCTGTGTTGTGTTGTCTAGCCAAGAGCCTCTCTGGCTTACCCTTCTTTTCTGGGCTACACACATTCATTCCAACAGCATAGTTGGCTAACAGGGTATCACTGAGCATCTGAAAGTTAACTTACTGTAAACTGACCAACTGAAATCTCTTAAACACACACACACACACACACACACACACACACACACACACACACACACACAAACAATACTAAAATGTAATAAAAATTAAAAACTAAGGAAGTAAGTGGGTTTATTTCTTCAGAGATGGCCCATGTATATAAAAGACAAAGGGTCCTGAAATCAGGTCTTATGAACTATTTAGTTGACCTCTCTCATTTATTTTTCTTGCCTTATTTCACCCTCATCACTTACATTACCCAATTTATTGTGTATTTTATTGTTTTCCTTATTTTGGTTGTGAGCCTAGTCTTTAACGGCTGAGCCATCTCTCCAGTCCTATTGTTTTCCTTATAAATTAAAGTTTTTGATGAAGTCTGTCTTGTCTTTTGGATGAGTGGAGGTAGTTTTGTCTCTTGTTGGTGCTAGACTCCAGCTCTTACAGCCTAGAATCCTATAAACAATGGATATCTGCACCCTTAGTGATTCACCTTCATGTTAGAAGCATGAAGTAATTTACCCAAAGATCTAGAGTGCCAGAAACCAAGATGAGAACTTTGGTTTCCTCTTGCTATTTTGGATCCTATGATTCCTAAACCCACTGTCTAAACTTCTGATTTGATTCTCTTGTATGGCTCACACCCAACTCACTGGGACACTAGACTGTAATATTTGTTGAATGAATTTATGAGTATTCATGTTATTTCTCCAATAAGATGGTAAACATTTGAAGTGGAAGTCATCCTTGAAACATTTATATCCCTGGCAGCTTTCTAATAAGACTATACACGTGTGTGGGGGGGACCATGTGGTCAACATTTTTATAGTCCATGCATTGTTTACACAGACCATGCTCAGAGCACATTTATTTTCACTTTCCTTCCAGAAAGAACACATTTCTTTTGTCCAGTGTATGGAGTGTGTCACATGCCTGTGACTGAACCACTGCCACACTCGCCTGTGACTCAGCTTTCCACTTCCTTCACACTTTCTTAACGATCAGCAAATCTATTTCTTTCCCTTCACCTCAAAACTTCAACCTGTTTATACACCCCTATTTAAAAACTGCAGGATTATGTACCTTTCCTTTATTTACAGAATGACGTTGGACAAAATATCATCAGGGTATGTAATTAATGTTAAGCCAAAATTTCCTACAGCTTCGAATCTGTGCATTGGCTACACGTGTCTAAACATGGAAGAACACTTCCATGGCGATGACAGAGCAAGGCCCTGAGCCTTGCTGTCCTCTCCTGACACCTGTGGTCTCATCTACGATCAGAAGTCACTAAATACTGCTGTTTTCTGGAGACAGGGCCACCCCATGCTTACAAACCTTTCCAAGTGTCTTATGGTAGTGGATTCATAGAAAAGCTACATAGAGAAAAAGGCTCACCAACTTCTTGTTGCTATTTTCTTCTGATTATTGTTTCACATAATTAAGATAAATTCTGTAACTTTCAGGGCATAAATTTTTCAATAGCATCTCTTCAACAGATCTAAGATTTTTTTACATTAAAATTACTTTTTAGTTATTTTATTCTATGTGTCTGGGTGTTTTGCCTGTATGTAGGTCTGTGCATAGTGTGCATGGAGTGCCCGAGGAGGCCAGAAGAGGGCATCTGATCTAGAACTGTAGTTACAGTTGTGAGCCTGTATGTGGGTACTGGGGATCAGACCCAGCCTTTGGAAGAGCGGCAATCAGTACTCAACCTCTGAGCTATCTCTCCAGCCCCAAGATCGAAGATTTTAGAAAGTAGTATTGCCTACATGATGTGAGATGTACGCTTCTTATTTCTGTGATTTTGTTTATTATTTTAAGCTCGGACAAACTATTTTATTTGTAGGTAATATTGAGAGTCACATCGTAGCATCTTATCGTGGAAGTAAAACACTTCATCTCCCCCAAGCTATTTCATTCAAAATAAAAAGCCCGATACGTCAACTGCTCAGTGGAGGGTGGAACAAGTTCTCAGGACTCAGTCAGGTTAGACGGAAAGGGCCTGAGAATCGATCCTGTGAGTCAGCTCTTGTGAGTGCCAGCTCTTGTGAGCCAGCTCTTGTGTGAACAGGCATGGCTGAGGCCTCACTCACTTTCCTTCCGAGCTGTAGCTGTTCATGCTGCCGTCTGTGGACTCCCGGCTGGCCTGCCGCGTCATCCAGTTCCTCATCTCCACTGCCAGGCCGGTTTCTGTGCTTCTCTGGACAGTGCTCCGGAGCTTTTTACCTCCTGCTTCTGTGGAGACAGAAATCCAAAGGCATCACAGTCTGTCACCGAGGCCTGGCTAGAGAACAGGCCGGCTAGCACCCAGAGACTGCAAATTCGAAGGACTGCAGACAGAGTTCTTAAGAAGACACAGAGAAAAGGTATTTTATGCACTTCTAAACGGTGTCTCCCTGAGTGAGCAGCACAAAGTACCATTATTTACTTCCACTTAAAACAGTGTTCAAATCATTAACATAAGAAACCCAAAGGTTCAAACTGAGGATAATAAAATACGCTTTGTTCTCATTGCAATGCTTAAATTACCATATCAGTTTATGCCTCCTGTTTTCATTGTAACTTTTAAATGCAAAATTAATTCATGCTTACCTTTCCTCCCATTTCTTTTGTCTTAATGAAAGAAATAGGCCTTCATATTGCTTACAAAGAACCAGATGGTGAGGGATACTCAATTTTTAGCTTTAACTTTATAAAAATTTTAGGGTAACGGCTATGAAAAGGTAAAGAAATCTACACAAAAGGGGTAACTCTATTTGAAGGCACTTTTGATTCTGTTGGTAACTTCCAGAAAGATTGTGTAATATAAAATTCCTGAAGTGTCACATGAAGAACCTCTTCAGTTTTTGGTCTTGGACGGTCATCTCTAAGGTGGTTGCACCTAGTGGAGTTTTCTCCCAGAAGGCCACCAGAGGAGCAGCCCTGAGGAAGGAGACAAGGGCGGGCATGACTGAGCGAAGCATCTAGCTGGAGAGATTAGAGCTCTGGAGAGGAAGCAGCACTGGGGCTGGGCTTGGAAGAGGGCCAACAGGGCCTCCAGGAAAAGAAGAGCGCGTCTGGGGCAAGAGAAAGTGCATGGACCAAGGAGCAAACCAGGAGTGACCATGTGTGGAGATGGAAGGGCCGTGGCTGAAGGAGCACTGGAAGCGGGGTATCCAGGAAAGAGCCAAAGCTGTGAGGAGCCCTGCTCGCTGGAACATGGAGCTGGGAGAAGAATACCACAGCTGTATTCATTGCTTCTCAGCAGGCCTACTTATTCACACTGGCTGCGGAAGCCATTAGCATTTGGAGATAAACAGCCAGGTGACATGTTCTTTCTTTTCAATGCTGCTGGTGCTCCTGACTGGATGACACTCTTTCCACCAAACTTCTTATATTTGCTCCACTTTGAAACACTGCTTTACATTTCACCCATTTCCAGTTTTGATACACATTAAAATGCTTTAGAGTAGACACAAAACACACATCATGACTGATCTCCAGCTAATCAAAAGCTGTATTGTGGGTGAGTAGCAAACGTGCACTGATAAATGATACGAAAACACAAGGCTTCCTCAATGACTCCAGAAAGCTCCTCCTCAGAGAAATGTTGGTGCTACCGACGCGATGACCCTGTTCACCTGTATGTCTGCTTCCCTTTGAAACGCTTGAGTAGAGACAAAGTTAAAAAAACGAACGTGTAGCCTCCTGTCGGATAAGTGATAAAGCATGGCTCACCACTGGAGGCCACCATTAAAAGTTAGACCATGAAAACACATGGATGAGCCAAGTGGTCAGTCCACAAACTCGTTCTGTTAGGGGAGTAAAGAGACAATTTCTAAGGGGTACAGAGCCGCCACCATCATAACCAAATCGATTCAGCAGCATACAGAATCATCCATCAAATCACCCATCAGGTTGTTCTGGACAAAAATGTACTCACTGTCTCTAATCAAGTCTTTCGGTTTTCAAAAAACACCGAAGGTAAAGTCACAAGACAAACAGCACGCACCAACAAAGCATCCAGACCAGACCCAGGTATGGGGTACTGCTCAAGGGAACTGGCCCATTCTCCTAAAAAGTTAACACCATGAAAAAAGCCTCAGTAAGGTAATGTAGGTTAAAATACAGCAAGGAGATGTTAGCCAGTGACCTTGGTTGTGTGGGTTTTTGCCTTGTCTATAAAACCAAAATGAAATAAGAAGTCTTTTTGACAAAATCATTTTTGTTAAATGTTAAAAATCATTAAAAAGCAATTTTAAGACAGGTAGGGAAATATGAATACAGATCAGATATTAGATGAGAAAGCTGCTAAACTTTTAGGTGGATTATAATAAGTATTATTAATGAATTTCCTGACTATTAGATATATGTCAAATATTTGGATGCAAAACCTTCTGTTATTAGCGTTTTACTTTCAAATGGTGTAGAAAACAAAACAAACACACACATGCACAGGAAGGGTGTTTAAAGAGAGATGAGGTGGCAGAGCCGAATGGAGGAGTACCCATCAATCTAACACTAATGACCTCTGTGCAGAAGTCTGCGTGAGGTGCATGTTTGCACACATAAGGCACGTGTGTGGAGGTAGACACGCGCATACATGTGGCAGCCGGAGGCTGAATGCAGGTCTTCCTCAGCGGCATTCTATCTTACTCACTGAGGCAGGGTCTCTCAACTGAACTCAGAGCTTGATGATGGACTACTCTTCAGACTGCCAGGATTACAGGCAGGTCCCATGTCTGCCCGCCACTCATTTCCATGGCTGCTTAGGATCCAATTTCCATCCTCATACTGTGCAGCCAGCCCTTTACCCTGTTATCATCTTCCCAGCACCTAAGATTTATTATTTTATTTCAGAGTGATCTTCAAATAGCTACATTACAAAGTAGTATTGTGATTTTTCTCTCAGTAATCATGAAACGTTAGGCTAACATGGGGGCTGAGTTCTTGCTTTGAGGTTCATTTCCTTTCAGTACCTGCCCCAGGGGAACAACTACCATCACTTGAGACACACTTCAGTGGCATCTAGATGAGGATCTAGATATATACAAGGGAATGGCATGGGGGAACCTAGGTTATCCAAGGATAAAGGACCTTAGTTCTTAAAGATCTCAGGACACAGCACAGCAATTCCAAAATCTATCTTCTATTTAATCTAATGCTACTGAGCAAAAGTGACTTGAAACTATGTCGTTAATGGGTGATGAGAACCAGACCCCACTTGGCTAAGAATAACATTTAAAAAAGAGTTTGCAAATCCTTCTGTCCACAACTGCTTTACTCACATAATCTCTTCATAGGTCTAAAAATTCCCACTTGTACAGATGAAGTGCAGAGGCCCAGCAGATCACAAGATTCCCTGAAGGCACACAGTGAATGTCAGGACCGGAATGTGTGCCCGGCTGCCAGACTCCACGTTCTCTGTTATTCATTAGCTTGTTGTCAGAACATAACTAACTGTCTGGGTAGAGATGATGCAAAGAGCCCTTTAGAAGTAGCCTGGAGGCCTGGGAAGAAGCAGGAGCCTCAAACCAGTTAGGCTCTGGTGTCAAACTGCTTCTCTACTTTTAACTTACTGAATGGCACCGAGCAAGTTACACCCTATTCTCAAATTGTGAGATAAAAAGACGTAACCGGTGAGCGTTAAAGACAACACACATCCTGAAACACAGAAAGCCTTCAACCAAGGCACCGGTATAAGATCCAGACAGGGAAGAAGGGAACACATTCGGACTGGTCCTGACCACTAACTAGCTAGATGCGTGGCCTTCTAAGTCATATCCCTCTCTGAGTCCGGGGCTAGTTGTCTATGAAAAGGGCAGGGAGAGGAGAGCACATGAGCCTTGGCATCTTTTAGCTCTAAAGTCTGTGATTGTCTCATTAGTGCACAAAAGACCATGATTAACAGCCCTGTGTTGAGGAGGTATGCTACTGTCAAAGAATCACAAGTTCCTAGCTAAATAACTACTTACAGTAGCCCTTAAAAACGTGTCATTTTACATATTCCATTATCTGAAACATTTATAGACTTATTTATAAATGCATCATAAAAATCTTTATGTCAATTCACAATAAATGCAATTTAACTTAAATATAATGCATTATGGTGATTCATGCGTAATGCTACAAATGTCACGTTGCTATGCAACCTAAAAACTGAATCCATGTGAGTGTGAAGATCTGTGAGAGTGAGTCCAAGTGAGCCAGGCAGAATTCTATGCTGGTCCTGATGACCATGTTACTTTACATGGCAAAAGGGATTTTGCTAATTAATTGTTTAAAGGTAGGGAGATTATCTGATGGTCCAGCATAGCAGCTCCTGGCCTTCAAAAGCAGAATGCTAGCCGGGTGGTGGTGGCAGCGGCGGTGCATGCCTTTAATCCCAGCACTTGGAAGGCAGAGGCAGGCGGATCTCTGTGAGTTCCAGGCCAGCCTGGTCTCCAAAGCGAGTTCCAGGAAAGGCGCAAAGCTACACAGAGAAACCCTGTCTCGAAAAAAACCAAAAAAAAAAAAAAAAAAAAAAAAAAAGCAGAACGCTGTCTCTGGCTGGCTTCAGAAGAGGAAATTAGAGACAGCAGAATCACCAGAATGATTCTTTCTACCTTTGCTGGCTTGAAGATGGAAAGGGACACATGTAAAGGACATCGCAGCCACCGGAAGCTGCTGAGAGTGAGATCTGACTGACAAGCGGCAAGAAAACTTGACTGGAGCCCTACACCTCCAAGGAACTCGATTCTGCCACCAACATGAATGTCCCTGGAAGCAGAGCCGCTGGCAAAAGCTCAGCCAGTGTCGTGATCTCTGTGGTGTCACACATAATCATCCTGTGCTAGGCTAAGATCTAATGAGTAGATGCTGGTGTTGGGTGCTAACTGTTAAGCAGCAGAAGACCATACAGCAGATCTGATTCTTTTCTCAGGTGCATTTTTTTTTGGTTTTTCGAGACAGGGTTTCTCTGTGTAGCTTTGCGCCTTTCCTGGGACTCACTTGGTAGCCCAGGCTGGCCTCGAACTCACAGAGATCCGCCTGGCTCTGCCTCCCGAGTGCTGGGATTAAAGGCGTGCGCCACCACCGCCCAGCCTCAGGTGCATTTTTAAATGGAATATACATAAAGCTATTTTATTATGATTGTGGGGGTAGACCAACCAAATAGTTATGAATTTAGGTGTGCTTTTTTAAAACAATACATATTTTAATTTTACTCTTGAGAACATCAAAGCCTTCTCCTGTTTCTCAAAGTGGGTTAGATTCCA